TTCTTCCTCTTCTTCTTCTGTCTTTCTAGCCCGCAATGGAGTATAGGTCTTAAATCAACTCACACCAAGTCGTTCTATCCCTTGCTATAGCATGCAGCTCTCCCTATATCCTATCCATCTTTTTAACTTCTCTTTCAGCTCCCTTCTCCGTGTGTGCTAGAGTCTAGTTCCTCTGCTCTGTTTGAAACCCGCTTGTGTTTTATTGTGTTATAGGTATTCATTATAAACTATTTCTTATCTCCTCTGATAGCTCTTCTGATTTCTTTCATGTAGTTCCTATGTGTATGGCTGTTTTGTTTCTGTCTCTGTTTTAAAGTTCTTCTTTCTATCAGCTTGAATGTAGTTTTTTTTTTTTTTTAGCAAATCTGGTTTGATTATTTATTAGGGATCATGTTTTGAGTTGTTGAGATGAAAGATGTTTCTTGTTTCACTGGCTAACTCCTCAGGTGTCAAATCCTCCTGCACTGCCATGAGTGCTTCAATTCTGTAATTACTTGGTGCATTACTTAAAACGTACTGGTTTTTCCCTTTTGAAAAACTTTTTGAGGTTTTTTTTTTTTTTTTTGCGACAAGAAGTTTCAAGTAGATCTATTAATACTTTTCACATCTTTCTATAGGAATTGTAAAGTTGCTTTTACAGCCTGTTGATAGTAGTTGTAACGTTTCTTTTAGAGCCTGTATATAGTAGTTGTAGTTACTGTGCCAATTTACACAGAGTATGCTTACAGTGGCTTTTTTGGTTTGTTTTTCAACCTGTAGTTATTGGATGTATAGTTACTTTTCCAACGCGTAGATAATTACAGGTGTCTAGTCCTTTTGGAACACACAGTATAAATTAACTGTTCTTGCACGGAAGTGTTTACTAAAGATATGTAAACACTTCGCAGAATACCTACTTTGTTTTCAAGTTGTGTGTTAAACTAGTTTATTAGTATTACGTTTTATGTATTATTTACGTGTTTCTGTGAATGCGCTTTGTGTGTGTGAGGCGCGGGCGCTCGCGTGTATGTGTGTATTTGTATTATCCTTGGAATTAATGTTGCTTCCTGTCTGCACATTTTTCGAGATAGATGTTAATGATATCGAATGTTAACGAGTCGATCAAGTTTTTTTTTTAAACATATACATGTGGTTTTCATGGTTGACGACATGTTTATCGGGTTCATAAACGCCACGCTCTTTTTATTGACATTTTTTATCACATTAATTGAAATCTTATAAAATTCATAGACATGTGTATCAGGTCTATAAACATTGTATTGTTTACTAGTATCTTTATCTAGTTTATTGAATATATCAAATGTATGGAAAAGTTTATTGACACGAGCATCAACATTATACAACACGTGTATTTTATGTAGTGTTTTCCGTGATCACTATTTAATTTTCCTAAAACATTTGTATACACTTTAGACGGGTGTGCGGACACAAGGGAAACGGAGGGAACAGACACTTTACATGTTTCCGGGGAGGGGTGACTCAAGTGGATTAACTCTTGTTGAGTGCGAAATAATAATAATATACTGATGGTGAAAGGCAAATAAATAGTATCAATAAATAAGAAGTAATATAAAATATGTACACCAAATACTTAAAGGGAGAACTATATATTTTTAGGGACGTTTAATTAGGGCCTGTCTCCATTTTCCAATGCCCCTACAATAGACAGTGATCGACTTTATGCACTGATTTTATTCCACCTAAAACATGTCTTTAAAATATAGGCACAAAGACTGTTTCGTACAGCGAACCTGGGTTTTCGACAGATAAAATGTGTAGTAATCTATGTATATCTACTCTATACAGTGTAGATTGAATCCACTTTATCAAGATCAATCTATTATCGCTGATCTTTCCCACCAACATCCGTCAAACAGACACGTTACCGTTTCCCTCGCTTACTTTGTGCCTTAGAAAGAATCCAACGTAACTTCCATGAGTAAGCTGGGCGAACTCTGTGGCCCTTGGGCGTCTAAGAAGATCAAACATTTACTCAGCGTTAGCTAACGAGCCCTAGCTCCTCATTGGCCATTTGTTTTGAAGTTCATTCTCAGATGGGCCAACAGTTGACAGTCGAGGTCAAGAGGTGTATAACCATAAGTGGATGTAAAATACGTGTATTTAGACTCCATAAATGCCGGAATCATTGGGATGTTTACCGTTTACGATTTATGATGGCCTTCTAGGTAAACATATTCAGATTTATGTGGTTTTATGTCTAAAATAATATTTGCCTTGTGTGGGTTAAAGTTAAATTTACCCAGCGAGCCGGAGTATAGAAGTGTTTAGCGGCTACATGCTGACCCCAAGGGTTTGGGTTCCAGTCTACATCATGGCCGATAGTATAGTTGACGTAGGTTCCCAGATCGATCCAACCTTAGCTGGGTGCCCGGAAATGTTTTGAGAAGTCAAGTATTTGATGGGCGCACGTTTTGAAGGTTATAGATTCGAATTTGGAGAACGATGTTCGGTTTACGAGTTCAAATATTACAGAGATGAGCGAAGGTCTTTGATGGAGCTGTGCAGTTCGTGCTTCGTGCCTTTCCAGAGGTGATAAACATCTGCTACTCAGCCCTTTCATATTTTATTGGTATGTTTATTAGTTTTTTTTTAAAACGGTAATCGACCCTCTAGACTATCTTGTGGCTCACTGAGCATTCGCTAAAGCGCCCATCTTTAGAGACCAATTAGCCCTCGATGGGCGACCCAAAAAAATGACCTTGGTCACCTTTATATCTCAGTAAAATTATGTTTTCCATATTTGACTGTCTGAACATATACACCTAGGTTAATTGTTTGAACATTCCCAGCTTAGTGAGTTTTTAAAACAGACTTCCACTGGCCGGGCAAATGGGCAAACCAGTTCGCAAAGAAATCTGGAATGTCTGTCTATTATTTTTTGTAAGGTTGTTTTCTTTTTATTATTGATTTTTGTACGATTGTGATCGTAACATCGTGCTATCCGCCTCTTTCATATTCTGTAGTCCTAATCTGCTTCTGTTTCCCTAAAAGCGTGGATGGCACATTATATTATTTACAGCTTGACTGTGATATTTACGCTTTTCACCCCAATACATCAGTTTCAGGCCAAATCTTTAATTAGTCGCCTTTTACGACATGCTTGTCGAGGGACAGAGGGTTACTGATATCGCAAAATGTGGCACAGGAGCCTATAGGGGTCATAGTCTTATTTACGCTTTTCAGCCCAATACATCAGTTTCAAGCAAATCTTTAATTAGTAGCCTTTTACGACATGCTTGTCGAGGGACAGAGGGTTTACTGAAATCGCAAAATGTGACCCTGGAGCCTTTAGGGGTCATAGTGTTATTGATTGTTGCTAAGAATTACTGTGTATATATTGTAAGCATAGATTTCACTGCTACGAGCAATATTCAGTTCATAATTTGTTAAAAGACGACTTGAACCAAATATAATATGCAGCAGTAAAAACAAATTGCTATAAATCTAAAATATGAAATCATTCTGCTGGTTTCCAGCATTTAGGTCGTTAAAAAAAAAATTATGTCGAGCCTCTACACACACAATTAGAACATGACATGTTTATAAAAGAAAATGTAAAATTAAAAAAAAAAATAGATATAATTTACAATTTAAGTGAAATTTCTGATACTTTCCCTAATAAATTCCCCTTGACGCATAACACGGATAGATTAAACATTTTTTTTTTTTTTTTTACAAATAAAGAAAATAACAGTCGGTACTGTGTACCTTGTCGACACTAGTCCTTCTCATTGCATGTCTTGGTCTCCGACCTATTCTATCAGTTTAGGTGCGAAATGCAAAGATGTGGTCGTACACCAGGACCAGAACCCGTACGGGTCCAAAAAGGTTTAATTCGCAGTTGGAGTGCGTCTGTTTTAGAGGCGAGGAACAAACCGGCTGCACACATATGCGCCAGCTATATAAAACGAATGTGCACGCAACGCCCAAATGTAAAAATACACTGGCCACTGTTTACGCCGCAGTTGGTCATACCAGCTGCCCTGTGCAAATTATCATAAGAAGAAGAATATACCTGAGAATATGCAACTTTCATATTGCAACACTACACAAATGTTACAGGAAGCTTCAAGAGTATTATGGTCCAAAAAGAGGGGAAATATTAATATTTTTTTAGAATCCGGACATGGAAGGGGAGGTGGAAAAGAGGAGTGGATGGGGAGACTGGATCATACGCAGCATCGCTTCTCGGAACTTGAAATATTCACACAATACTGGTTTGTAGAGAACAGTAATGGAGGTTTCCTTGAAGTCCAGCCCAACGGGGACACACTAGAGATGAAAGTTCACGAAGTAGAAAAGTTGCCAAAGTACCGAATGTTTTTCGGCTACAGTGATGAGAGCGATTTTTTGACTGTTAAATTTTATGTGATCTTTCAACGCCCATGTTACATTTGTTGCAGTTTAGTCTATGGTTGATATGTTGTCAAAATTTGGATCTTCGTTTCACTCTGTATATTAATAATACAGTGATGAGGAAAGTTGTAACACGAGATTTACATTAGATAACAACAGATGAACCGGCTTCGCTAAATAATTAAGTTGTCAGCAGATAGTATAATCTAGCTGGTAATAAGATACAGACCAAGTGGAAATAAAGAGGAAGACTGCAAACATAAACTAAGAGAATAAAAAGTCCATGGAAACGCCTGTAAGAACCCCTCCTCGCTTTTCTTGTTTATAGTTCAGATCGACACCGGAGAATCCAATAAGGGCCAGCTGGAATTCATTATCATCATGTTCCCAACATTGCCTCTCATATCTTTTCACAGAGCTCGATCCTGGGTATTTGAAATCACTTCTAGTTATAATATTCCAGAGTCCTCGCTTGAAGCCGTCTAACAGTCTTTTTTGATTTCTTTTAAAAAAAATTGGGATTCGATAGCAGATACATTTTTGCATTTGTTATGAAACGTGTTAATTCCTTTTCTTTGATATTGTATTGCTGTTTGTACATGTATTCCTTATCGTTACAACAGGCTAGAGACCTCATCAAGTCTAGGCAATCTCCAGAAATTCCAAAGGCTGTTGGCGCTAAGAGACAAGAACTCACTGCCAGAGACACGCACGCGGTCCATAAGCTTAGACTGGTGAGTACTCTAGGGTCAAATCTGTTCAAGCCGACGCCTACAAGTAATCTACATAGCAATTAGTTCCTAGGAAAACAGAGATATCGCCTGTATTGTCCAGACTTGGCAATTTGCATTTATTTGTCGTACAATTTGTGCGCTGCAGTGTGATTGTGCGCTAACATAAACTGAGTTTAGTTAAGAACCGAGGATATTCTCATAAGCGCCCAGTCCCCATATTCAGCAGCCAGGCGGACTTTCAATTTTGATGTTACTGATAGGAGTCTGATTGTACGTCTGTCCTGCTTTTCCTCTGAGCGTTGAATGGCGGCCAAATCCTTCAGTCACTCTCCGCTCGTTCATAATTCACCCTCCCCCCCCCCACCCCACAAATAAATGTTAATATAAGAATGTGGTAGAGTTGTCATATATGTTTGTATTTGAATGTGAGTATATGTAAGTGTGTGTGTGTGTGTATGTAAGTGTGTGTGTTGATATAATAACAGAAAAATAGGCGGGGCCGAAATCGTTCATCTAATCAAAACGGGTGGCAAGACAACAGCCGTGGTGTTTATGAAGCATATATCAATGAATTTTTTAATTATTATTTTCATGGTAGGGACCCTTTGGTAGAGTAGTGGATTCCTTCCAGCTAGTTGCGCATCAAGCATGCAGTGCTAGATCCGTGTTGAATAGACAGGTCGGCACCGGATGGCTGGTATCTGGTTTACGATTAGAACCTTCTCTGGTGTTTGTAGTCGCCATGAACATTTCGTTGTGGGCATCGAACAAACACCGGTTTGCCGTCACATCAGACGAAGACAGTTTCAGCATATCTGCTAAAGCAGGGCTGTTATGTGCCTCCCGTCTTTCCACTTCTGCTCGAAGAGTCCACACGCCTTTGACTTTTTTTCCTGGAGTGCATTTATTCACAATTAATTGGAAATTGACTTTAAAACAATTCTATATTAGTAATAACGTGTGTGTGTGCGTGCGCACGTGTATTTGTGTGTGCGCGCGAGGACGCTTTTACAGATTTCTTTGCAATTAACTTAGGGGAAAAAGAATGAAGACACACATAAACACTGCACTTCGACATTTAAAAAAGTATCTCTTACAGGGGAGATGCACTTACACAACAGTTACTGTTGTCCTCGCCCAATGACAGCGCAATGGATACCTTGGCGGGGTTAGCAGTCTCACCCAGCGTCCCTGCTGACCTCAGAGAATCCGAGCAGAGATACAGCCCTACCATGAGGGACCCTCATTTCGCGTCAAGTGAGTAATTTGTTTTTCTTTCAGTACAGTTAAGGATTTTTTTTTTATTCACAGAATATTCAACGCAGCATGGGTACAACAAACGGCCCCTATTGATTGGCAACATGCAATAATTATACCATTGTGGAAGAACAAAGGAAGCAAACGAGAATGCGGTCAATATCGAGGCATCTCTCTTTTAAGCCATGTTGGCAAAATGTATGCCAAGATAATAGAAACAAGACTGAGACCAGTGATAGAACCACAGCTGGCAGAAGAACAGATGGGATTTAGGAGAAATAGAAGCTGCACATGTGCAATCTTCACACTTAAACAGTTAATAGAAAAGAACATTGAATACAATAAGAACTTATTTGTGGCATTCGTAGACCAGGAGAAGGCATTTGACAGAGTCGACAGACAATCTTCTTCTTCTTTTGTCAAAATCTGCTTGTGCCGCTAGGCGTCGCAGTCTATCAGATGATCGGCAACCGAGCTAGGGCACGCTCAGTCGCTTCATATGCCGTGATGTTATGAAGTCTCAAGTTGTCCGTGACTCCTTCAATCTATCTTCTTCTTGGTCTTCCCCTGCCTCTTGGTGTTTCGATTTGCATGTTGTATGCTCTTGTTGCTGGCATCGTTGGTTCCATTCTCATTAGGTGACCAAACCATTTCATTCTTTGCTTCTCAATAAATTTAACGATGGGTATGGTTCCAATAGTTCTTGTAATCACATCGTTTCTCACTCGATCTCTTCTGGTTTTATTCGCAGCCATTCTCAAACATCTCATTTCACAGGTGGTTAGTCTTCTCTCGTGTTCTTTTGTTAATGTCCAAGTCTGACATTGATAACCTAATGTCGGTATAAAGATTGTATTTATAATTTGTCTTTTTATCTCAGCTGGGACAGCAGGGTGTTTTAAAATTGGGGCAAGCTGGTATGCGACATTGTTGGCTTGTTGGATTCTTGCTTCGATCTCTCTGTCTATTTTACCATTGAATGTAAAGATAATGTAAAGACAGACAATTATTATGGAAAATAATGGCAAGATATGGAGTAAGCGAACACCTCATCGAAGTGTGCAAAAGTTTATACAGGGATTGTAGAAGTGTAGTTAGAATAAATCAGGGAACATCTCATCCTTTCACAGTGACGTCTGGAGTAAGACAGGGGTATGTCTAATCACCACTGCTGTTTATCACCTACATCGACAGTATATGCAGAATGCCAAGCCCATGAATGAAAATCTTAGTAAGATCAACGAATTACTCTTTGCAGATGACCAGGCCTTGATAGCAGATACAGCCATGAAATTGCAACAACATCTAACATCCATGAATGAAGAATGTAAAACAAATAATATGAGAATCAACACTGAAAAGACAGAAGTAATGTCAATAGGAAAAAAAAAGACAGATCTAAACATAGCAATAGAATACAAAGGCATTAAACAGGCATCTGAGTTTAAATATCTGGGAACTACATTTACCGAAGATGGGAAATTGGATAAAGAAATTGACATTAGATGCAGTAAAGCAAACCAAGTATTGGGACAGCTAGCCCCCCTCTTACAGCATAAGACAATCCCAATCAGCACAAAGAGACATCTTATTCAAAGCATATTTATTCCAACTCTGTGCTACCAGTGCCAGACATGGTCACTCACAAAAAACCATAAAAGAAAATTAGTAACCACGGAAATGAGATGTCTGAGAAGGGCTGTAGGAGTAACCATAAGAGATAAGATCAGGAATGAGATCATAAGAGAACAAGTCGGCACAGAACCAATTCTGGATTACATACAAAGACAGCAAGTGAAATGGTTTGCCCACTTAGAGAGAATGCCTTGTGACACCATACCATACAAAGCATACATGGAAAGAGAAGAAGGACGTAGAGCACGGGGTAGACCAAGAAAAAGATGGAAGGATAACATCAGAGAAACTCTACAACAGCACGATGTGCCTATGGTCGAGGCAGCCAGAAGAGCTAGAAACAGAACCTTATATCTCCCTCGACACCCACAGCGGTAAAAGAGGAAGTGAAGAAGAAGAAGAAGAACAGTTAAAGATGGCACCTTATTCTGCATGTCCCTTATTCTGAAGATTATTTCTGACGGACAGATATTCATCTTCTTATGTATTCATCCTCGACTCTTTCAATACTAAGCAAATCCAATATGTTTATTGGAGATGCGTGGCATGGTAAGCTTTTATGGGAGTCTTGTACAATATCCATTTGTAGCTTGAACACATTTAGTACCGATTTTTCGCCCTTATGTTACTACTTCCTACCAAACCTCGAGTTTTACATCAAGCAACAATTTCTTAAGAAATAAGGAGTTAACGAAACACATGCATGGAACCAAAAGAGTCACAGTTTGATTGGCACTGGGCTGTGCTTGAAAGCTAGACAGTGATATCTGCACCTTGCAGCCAAAAATATCCGATTTTAATCAACCAATAATTAGATCCCTTTTATGCCAGGCTTATTAACGAATCAGTGATGCATTTTTCTTCCCACAATGCGGCTATGAAACCAATATGTGGAACTGTTTATCTATCGTGGATTCTTCCCACCTGGATCAATGTCTACTTCATGCTTCCCTTCCTTCAACCGTTGCCCCTATTTTAGTTATACTCAGAATTGTGTTTAATTAGTTTGTTTTTTATTCCCAGTTATTAGACTAGTTTGGTTTCTGTGCATTACTTACCAAACATAAGATAGAACATGTAGAACATAAATAGGTGGCATATACTCATAGACCTAAAGGATAATCTGATTCCTTTGTTATCGTTTTATTAGTTATTGCCGTTACCCCTGTCGCTGTCTCCGAGCTGCTGGCTCCATTGTCATTGGTGAGTTTCGCTTCAAGACAGATCTGTAAAACATTGGCAGAACTGTCTGGTGGAACCCAGGCTAAAATGGGTACCAAGGAATATTTTGAAAAGTAAAGACGATGGGTGTATGTTGATCAACTGACTCGCTGAGTTTCGATGTGCTCAATAGAAAAATAAAATAAAAATTAAAAAAATATGAGACTAGCACCATATGTGGGATGCGTCTCAAGTCGTGAAGACGGCCCTTTACTGAATTGTTATTTACGCTGGCTTTCACCGCGCCTCATGGCTGTTTTTGTTTATTAGGTTCTATGAGGAAGAAGAGTTCAAACGTTGACTTGGATGGTCAAGTTCCTAGTAAACGAAAATCGGATAAGGAAAAACGAGGCATGTTTGATAGCCAAGGTAACTGATTGCATTTGTCTGTGTGTTATGTTTATGTCAAAGCACGTTTTCCAAGTATCATAGCCTTATATGTGTATGTCTGTGCACGTGTCAGGGTGTGTATGTGTGTGCGCGCGCGCGCGTATGTGCACGCGCGGGTGTAACAACTAGAGAAGATTTGGGAGTCTTTTTTTAATCCATTGATCGCGTTCGAAAACATGCTGTTATTGTTTTCTTATTTTGCATCCCAGGATTGCTGCCTGTAAGATTTGGTACATGTGATGAAAGTCACCCCACCTCGTCGACGGTGGGATTTCGTAGGGGATATTCAGGGACACTTCTAGAGTCTATGGGTATCCTTCGTCCCTCGTTGTTAACGTCTTAAGCACATCCACCACTGACGACAGCCACCGTACACGAGCATAAAAATATAAGAACATCAATGATTCTGTACTCACGAACCGTCGTACCTTCGACGCTTCTCCGTGCACTTCTACCTCTTCTTTGCACAAGGCACCTTCGGCGCCTGAGACCTACTCCCAACAACATTCCAGAAACAAGTCTTTCACAGAAAAAAAAATGTTGGGAAAAGAAAACTGCGCACTTTCGTCTGGGAGAAAGCTTGTCGACCACATTGAACGAACCTGAGCAACGTTTCGGCACGCTGTGTATAGACGGCGAAGGAAGACATCTCATAACCCCCCTTAAATATAGGACAGCGTATGGAAATCTCTGGCCGACGAGATGAGGTGACTTTCGTGAATAAAACCGAAGATTGACATCCAGTGACTCAATGAGCCATTGCTCGGATGTAACCCAAAGGCAAATTCTAGAAACCCCGCTTTGCTACACATAAGAGTTAAACTTACACTGTGTCTAGGAAGTTGCCTGCAGTTCTAATTTTTGATAACTGAAATATTAGTCATTAACTCTCAGCTACATTCTTTGGCAATTGCAAAGATACATGAGGTTCTTGCTGTCTTCTACTACACACAGAAGTTACATTAAGCCTTTATCTGGACCACGGACATCTTTAGAAGTTTCCGCAAGAGTTTACAGCCAGTGTTCGCGAAGCATAAGTCAAATGATTAAGGATTAATATTATTAGTGTACTGCTACAACATATAATTATACTGTTAGTCAACAATTAGTAAAGAGGCAAAGAGTGACTTGCTGGGAGAGGTTAGTTAGTAAATTAAATATTATTTTCATCCACTTACCTAGAGCTCTGAAATATCTTGACACAATTTATCCACAGTGTGGTTGTACCATTTATGCATAGTCAATATGAAAGCAATAGTTTTCTTCAAACACAAGATAGTTTGCACCTGATAACTGTCGATATTCTCCAGATATGGCTTCTAAATAACCTGTTTGTATTATCCCTAAAAGTAAGATTTCTACATTTAAAGTAGAAAAGTAATAAACAGCCAGTTCCCAGAAATCCGAACTACTGACTAGAAACAGTGACACACACATCACAACACGACTGTCTTCCGTGAATTAAAATCAAAATTAAAATTGCTGTATATCCACTTTACAATATCCGCTTGTATATCTGTAATACAAATACGTTTAGAACACAGGACTTTGTAAACATAGTAAGATGTCACACAATGCAACATGGAAACGATGCCAGTAACCTATTTTCGAGGGGGACTCCCCGAAAATGTACCGTGGTTCAGTTGGCAGGATTGAAAGATACAGCTGGACGTGATCTGGACTATTCTTTCAACATTCCTGTAATTCTCCGTTGAGCCGATTCAAAGCTGTGTATTTATCGCTTTTAATCTAAACTTTTTAGATATAATGAGTTAAACTTTTACTTGTGACTGGAAGAGGGAATTATGCAGCTGCCTACACATATGAATTACAACTCTTGGCTGTCGTAATAAAAAAACAGCCGCGTCTGCTTCTTTCATATCCCGGTGAAGCATAAGTTCTCAGCTAACTCATGGCAAGCCTTTCGAGGACTTGTTCCCAATTGTTTCGATTTTGCATCGGACTTTCTCTGTTTTGTCATGCAACCAATCTCATGCCGACCAGCTTTAGTCTTATCATACCATGTAGACTGAAGGACGCTACAGTGTTACCGTTCTTTAACTTCCCTTTACAGACCCTTGTAGTACATAGGGTAACTGTTGTCTTTGTTTCCAGTGAGTTTTTACATAGTTATAATGTTGCACTGACTGAATAATAGTTTCTTGCTTGTTTCTGGTTGTTGTTTTTTTTTTAACAACCATAGAATCGTTATGTTATCTTTACTCCCACAGGCCTGAATGTTACGATATCCTGATGTTGCGGTTTCGGATGCCTTAATTACAATTTCTTTGCAGATTCAATGGGGTATCTGTGATTTTTCCGTTATTCTGATCCAACCCCTTCCTCCTCTAGAAAAAGACTTTTGTCGCATGGGTGGTTAAACATTCAGCTATCCATCAAAGGAGAAAAAGATAGATAGTTAGTTAGTTAGTTAGTTGGGTTATCCTCATTGCACTCCGTAAATGTCCATAGGTGCTCAGATCCTTCCCTCAGTATGAACCCCAACGTCCGATGGCTAATAGTACCAGTTCTATGTTGATTAACAAGTCTTCTTGCGTGTCTGGTGTGCGTCTCGTTTTTTGCTGTGCCGATCTTAATTCCCAAGTCTGCCATTCTGGCGAGTGATGTGGATTCACTGCCACCAAAGTCCTCTATCCTTCCCATTTCTCTGAGGGCATTGATAATATCAGCATGATTCATAGGCTGACCGTCGGTAGTGATACCAATTCAAAAGATAGATATAATCACAGAAGATGTTTGTGCAGTAATACACCATACAATATTAAACTGACTGTATGGTGACCAGGCGTTAAACATGTGCACTTCATCATGTCCAGAATTTGCTGAGAACTATCCGGCAAAGAAAGACCACTAGGAAAGTAACAGACCATTCCTAATGTCGTGGCCTTGAATAAGAAAGTAAAGGGCCCAAATCTACGCCTTGGAGCACTTGGCATATGGTGCTGGGCTAATATTTTTATAGACCAATCCGCATTCGATCACGTCGGCAGGTTTCAGGACATTACCTGGCATCCATTTTAAGCTAGGTCGACCTGGAAGGCAATGTCCGTTGTAAAAAAGAAAAAAAAACCGCATGGATACGGATGTGAACACTAGAATATATTAAGGTCGCACATTTCACACCCCAAAGACAGTATCTTCTACGCAACTGCTGCATGTTTTAACCACTGTTTGGTGTAGGGATCATGTTTAGCCCCGCTTGTGTTTTTGAAATAATGACAAAACTTAATATCCCTGTGACAGTATGAAACCAGATATTACTATACTGGCACAAAAACAAAAAAAAACTGCATAAAGACAAGAGAGCAAAAAGCGGAAAATGCAGACTCTAGTCTAATTACAATGATAAATGTCATACAGGACGCTCTGGCTACAAAATCTTCGCGACAAAGAACACTAATATATTTACTTAGGGATTCCATGCTTCTTCACAGCGTGTAATTTCCAATAGCGTGTACGATTGCATGTGCCAAAACCAGTCCATGTATTGACAAATCAATATCTAGCACGTTCTAGCATTGTTTTCATTTGTCTCTCTTTCTATCAATCTTCTCAGTTGTCACACAATTTTCAGCCGATTTCCTCTCACCATGTGGCCTGAAAATATGACTGACTATTTCTAATGCTTGCAATAATGTCTGTGTCATTTTTTACCTCATTTCTAGTTAATAATATTGTAAGCTTTTTTTAATGGGACAATAATACAACAGCAATATGTCAAATCTGGTTGCCAGAAATATAGACAAAAATATACAAACCCAGGTAAAAAAATCTGGAGTTTCAATGACAGAAGAAAATAGCAGGGATTTATTACAAAGCTGATGGATGTTCTCTCATTTTTATAACCATCTGACATTACAAGAGAGATTGTGTTCGCAGTTATATAAGCTGATTCAAAAATGATGTGTGACCTAGCCTTGTTGCATAATGTAGAGCAGCAAGACCTAGACCTTGCCAGATATTAGTGTACAACATGGTCGTCGCATCAGATTGACAGTTAGTTGTTAAAACAATGGTAAGATAGAGAGCATGTCAGAACGAGGTCCATAGTCCATGTCAGAACATGGTTGATAGAAAGAAAAAATGTCAGAACGTGGTATTTTCTGATACATGGGCAGAGCATGTCAGAACTATGGTCTTGATAGGGAGCATGTCAGTCTGTAGTGAGATAATAATCAAATAGTTTCCGATTGTATCTAAAAGGGTTATTGTCTATATTTTTATTTCCATGGAAGAGCAAGTCAAACAGCTGAGCTAGAGAGCATGCTAAGAACATGGGTCTATATAGTCTTAATTCAAGGTTTAGAGAAATGCAATTGATAAGCATTCAGAACACGTTTATAATATGAGATCATGTCAGAAACATGGGGTCTGATAGAGATCATGTCAGAACATGGTTTGATAGAGAGCATGTCAGAACATGGTTTTGATAGAGAGCATGTCAGAACATGGTCTGATAGAGAGCATGTCAGAACATGGTTTGATAGAGAGCATGTTAGAACATGGTTTGATAGAGAGCATGTCAGAACAACGTTTTGATAAAGAGCATTTTCAGAACATGGTTTATAGAAGAGCATGTCACGCATGGTCTGATAGAGAGTCCACTCAGCTCTTTCATACATGGTCATTTTTTACCTCATTGATAGAGAGCATGTCAGAACATGGTTTGATAATAGAGATAGAATGTCAGAAAAAATGGTCTCATAGAGAGCATGTCAGAACATGGTCAAAAAAAATAGAGAGCATGTCAGAAAAACATGGTCTCATAGAGAGCATGTCACTGAACATGACGTTTGATAGAGGATAATGTCAGAACATGGTTTGATAGAGAGCATGTCAGAACATGGTTGATAGAGAGCATGTCAGAACATGGTTTGATAGAGAGCATGTCAGAACATGGTCTGATAGAGAGCATGTTAAACAATAACATGGTCTGATAGAGAGCATGTCAGAACATGGTCTGATAGAGAGCATGTCAGAAAAATGGTTTGATAGAGACATCATGTCAGAACATGGTCTGGATAGAGAGCATGTCAGAACATGGTCTGATAGAGAGCATGTCAGAACATGGTCTGATAGAGAGCATGTCAGAACAGGGTTTGATAGAGAGCATGTCAGAACATGGTTTGATAGAGAGCATGTCAGAACATGGTTTGATAGAGAGCATGTCAGAACATGGTTCTGATAGAGAGCATGTCAGAACATGGTTTGATAGAGAGCATGTCAGAACATGGTCTGATAGAGAGCATGTCAGAACATGGTTTGATAGAGAGCATGTCAGAACATGGGTCTGATAGAGAGCATGTCAGAACATGGTTCCTGATAGAGAGCATGTCAGAACATGGTCTGATAGAGAGCATGTCAGAACATGGTTTGATAGAGAGCATGTCAGAACATGGTCTGATAGAGAGCATGTCAGAACATGGTTTGATAGAGAGCATGTCAGAACATGGTCTGATAGAGAGCATGTCAGAACATGGTTTGATAGAGAGCATGTCAGAACATGGTCTCATAGAGAGCATGTCAGAACATGGTCTGATAGAGAGCATGTCAGAACATGGTCTGATAGAGAGCATGTCAGAACATGGTTTTGATAGAGAGCATGTCGAACATGGTTTGATAGAGAGCATGTCAGAACATGGGTTGGATAGAGAGCATGTCAGAACATGGTCTGATAGAGAGCATGTCAGAACATGGTTTGATAGAGAGCATGTCAGAACATGGTTTGATAGAGAGCATGTCAGAACATGGTTTGATAGAGAGCATGTCAGAACATGGTCTGATAGAGAGCATGTCAGAACATGGTCTGATAGAGAGCATGTCAGAACATGGTCTGATAGAGAGCATGTCAGAACATGGTTTGATAGAGAGCATGTCAGAACATGGTCTGATAGAGAGCATGTCAGAACATGGTTTGATAGAGAGCATGTCAGAACATTGCTTTTTTGCAATTAACAAATAAAGTATTTCAGTTTCCTATTGCTCTTCTTCTGTGTCTTCCTCTTCCTCTTCAGCATATTTTCTTTTTCTTTTTTCTCTTCAATTTTCTTCTTTATCTTCTTCTTCCTTCTACTCCTCTTCTTCTTTTGTGCAGAAAATAGCTTGCATCATTTATCAAATAACTTCAAAGTGTAGAAATGAAACTCCTATCACTTTTGCTGACATAATAATAAGTATTCTAGAAGTAATGATGCAGATGGATGAGAATTAAGGTGGAATCTTGTAGACACACATTGCTCACAGGATACCATAAAAAATAACTGTTGGAACTCTGTGTTAGCTGAAGAGACAAAGTCACAGCATTTATGGGAATGCCCCAAGTTTTGTGGTGTCAGTTCTGAAAAAACATACTTAACTTTTTAGTTGGTTTAACCAAATGCATGCACAGAATTACCTGATAATAAAGCAGGTTTAACTCTCTGATAAAGTTTTCTCTATGGTTAGTCTTGTTTCTTTAACTTTCCTTCTGCAGCATAAACATGGAGGGCCTGACTGTCCTTGACATTGCAGTAATGACCAACAACATTCCTATGGCCAAAATGTTACTCTCCAAGGGCGCCAGGGAAAGTCCAGTCTGTATGTATATTCCTATTGTGTTTCACAAGTTGTACATGAATTTTCTTTCTTCTTACGATGGGTTTATATTACATTTACTCGCATCAGTAATGTTTTTTTTTAATTTGAAATGTCAGTATATTTTATATTGTGACATTTGGTTGTGTTATTATGATTTATATTACTCATTGATCGAGTTGTTATGTTTTACAATTTGACACTTATTCATAACGTAATGGTTTATTTTAACATCATTTACTCATGCCATAATTTTTGTGGTTATTATTATTATGTTACTTCATTATGTTGAATCTTGCAATATTTGTTTAGGTCAACTAAAGTACCAGAATAATTCAAATTTCCCTAAATACTGAGCAGTAGAGTTGCTTGATTTTGGTTGAAGAAATACTTTATTCATACGTAGATTTAATATTCAAAACAATGTATTCCCATAATGAATCTAATTAATTTGGACACAAACAATACATTGCACAATTTATTGCTAGGCATATTTCGCTGTATCTCGTCAAGTGCGTTACTATAGAGTTACATCAACATTAAATGAAGCACACAACTGAATAAATCCAACTGAAAGAAAGGAACTATCTGCATTTCAGTTGGATTTATTCAGTAGTGTGCTTCATTTTATGTTGTTTTAACTCTGTAGTAAGACACGTGAAAAGATGCAGTGAAATATGCCTGGCAATAAATTGTGTAATGTATTGTTTGTGGCCGCATTATTTATACCTAGATTTATACAAATTTACCAATAATATCTGGGTAGTGGATCTGGTGACTAGATGTCTCGACACAAAAATATAACTTCTGTGAACGTCTATAATTTGTTTATGGACAGATTTTTCAGAATCCCCGTAAAAAGGAGCTCCATGCAGGCTACATAGACTGTTTCATTGGAAAAGTGCTAGTCTTGTTATAAGTAGTGTCATGTACTTGAGTCTATTATTTCTAAGGTCTTGGATAAGAATCTGCTCCAAGGCAGATTAAAACACAAACAAACAGGAACTGAGCCCCAAGTCCCCAAAGCATAAAATGAAAACCAGTAAATTTCTTGGGAGGCAAAGATGGCTAGCTGTTAATCTCGCTGTGCAGGGGCTTAAAACGTGTCTTTTTACAAAATTAATAAAGATGATGGATGCAAGCAGATCTCTAATCCAGTGAAATACAGTTTTGGTGATCTCTCTCCATGCCCATTTTATCTTGTTTAATTTTTATTCTTCTTATTCTTTTCTCTACTCCTGGAATGCCTTGCGGCGTCAGGGGAGGAAGAGATCTCTAGGACAAGCTCTTCTGTTCGCTTCGTATAAAGTACTTTTCAGTGTCTCTGATATTTCTGCCGTCCAAATTATGCGTGGTCGACCTTTGGGTTTGTTACCACTGTATCTGTAAAACATTGATCTTGTTTACTTCACTCTCTGTATGTTTTTGGCCTGTTTTTATTCAGCTTACCCTGTGGGTTCCACTTCAAGGACAGTCTTCTTATGGTGATATCAGGGTTTTCTTAGTGTGTAGCCTATCCATCCCTAGCATCTTTTCCATAATTACCTCTAGATTAATAACAAACTGTTTTTTCTTTGCATTTACAGTTTCAAATTTACATAAATGCATTCAAATGAACAGCATGTTATCCAATGTTACACACAGAAAATGAATATGTGAATACTAATTTAAATAGCTGATGAGAAAGATCAGAAGCACAACAAAAAAATGTGCAATGGATTAATCACAGTGGAAAATGTGACTGAGAGCTATATGGGATCCTATAGTTAGCGCTAAAGGATAATGACAATAATGACGATGAGAATGATGATGATGATAATGAGGATGATTTCATTTAAAAACCAGAATTTATGCAAACAAACTTTGTAATTTACATACAAATGTATTGTGCTTTCATTTCTTCAGTTCAAAAAGGAGAGTGTAGATTACAAAGATTGGAGTCACTGGTGACAGAAGCTGAGAAAAATGTCATCGACCTCACAGCAATTGTACTTAATGGTTCTTCTGGCAACTCCAACATTTCTCCTGTGCAACTTAAGGTCAGTCTCACAAAAGCTCAATAACTGTTTCTAGTAGAGTATGCCAGATGAAAGCCAGAGTTTTCTAACATGTTAATACGAAATTATTTATTTTATGTTTGTAAACATATTTACCCTTAATGTTTGTATTCAAAACAATACATATATGACAAGTGTTTACCAGGGAAATTAGATGTCTGGACAAGGTTGTGGCAGTAACCAGAACAGATAAAATCAAGAATGCAGTCATAACGGATGAAGTGGACATAGATTTAATACTATATTGTACAGGAAAAAATAAAGTAGCAAACTAAATGTTGTGCCCATATTGAGAGAATGATATCCTACCATACAACAGGGGTGTAGCATCATTCCATTTTTCCTTTTCATCAGTAATTTTTTTTTTGGGGTACTTTTAGAGTGTTGACTTTTACTTGGAAACTGAAGAAGGGGACGGAGCACGTGTGGGAATGTCCTGAGTGGAGTGATGTCAATTCTTAATTCATTCATTCATCATTAATTTTTTTCAGTTATGGAATGTCTGGGCATTGTTAATCTTGCATGCCTAACTGATGTAATTGTGGGTTGTTGTTTTTTTTTTTTTTTCAGGTCGCATTTTTCCTTTTCCTTCCTCTTGTATTGTAGCTCTCTAGTATAGTTAATGGTACACTACCTAAGGAAAACGTTTTGCTCTCAGTTGCTTAATCAATGTTCTGATGGGAAGGGGGCTTATATAGCTTAGGCCTTTTTTATGTGCACAATAATAATAATGTGTTCATGGCAAATGACTATGGCTAATACATTCACAATTATGTAATATGTATAAAGACAGGCTTAAAAAGAACTGTTTTGCATGGCTAGTTGTAGACCTCCTTATCTTATATTGTGAGCAAAATAAAGATGGGCAAATTTGTAAGCATATTAGTTGATTCACAATATCATGTTATTCTGTAGTCTTTTTGCAACTGCTGCTTCTTAATGATTATACAATTGATGTACCAGTGAAAGATTAAGCTTTCAGGTTTCTTATATATATGTATGTATATATTTATGTGTGTGTGTGTGTGTATATATATATATATATATATATATATATATATATATATATATATATATATACATATATATATATATATATATATATATATATATATATACACACACACACATAAATATACACACTTACACACACACACACACACATATATCTGTACACACACAAACATGGACATGCACACACACACACACGTATACATGCATGCATGCGCGCACACGCGCACACACACGCACACACACACAGTCATTAGTTTCAATTCCAGCATTATAGAAAACTCAATAGCTGGGCAGTGGAACCACTTATTTAAGCCTACATATGAGGAAAGTACATCACCAAACCGTGTCCAGAAGTCAATGGCAATCTGGGTTTAACAAACACTTTCTACCGATGAAACTTGCTTGTTTCCATTATTATGTTATGTGTTGATAGGGTGCGAATGGGCCAAGAATTCATATTAATGGGTCAATAAACTATTTCGGTAATGTCCTCTGGTGGGAAATTAAACATGTGTGTGTGATTTACTATTGAATATTGTCTTTCAGGAAACAGAAAAACAACTAGGACATTGGGAATTCCGACATCGACTACTGAAACGTATGAAGGCCGGCTATAACTATGCAAGTACGTAGTACATTTGTATTTACTGGATGACCTTATAGGGAAACAAGAAATAACGTGACATTTACTATCATGAAATTAATTATTGTACCAACTTTCTAGTCAGGGTGTGTATCTTAACTCTTTCAGTACAAGGTGGTGTCATATTAGATACTGAAGTGACTTATGGTCATGTCCAATGTGAGATAAAGATGATCTTATAATAAATAATGAACTGAAGTGCAAAATAATCATGCTGCAAAATCAAGAGAATACAACATTTTAAGTGTGTCAGTATACATAGTTGTACCAATGGAGAAAGCCAGATTTCTCTGGGATGTTCTGACCGAATGTTAAAAGTAAGAGAGCGCATTGTGCATAGAGGGGAATCAAGGGATACATTCGTTCATACACTGGGCATTCCTTGGGACTGAACAAGTCAAAGGTTGTGAAGCATTTTACCAAACAAGCATTCAGAAGTTCAAATTCAGCTGTAGTCTCTTTGGTAGCAGACAGCAATCAGTTTATTTTGACAAGGGTGTGAGGATCGTAGAAAACAGTGACAAACTAGTGAACATAAAATGTCCTTATCCATATAAAACCAAGCAGCAGTCAATAAATGCTGGGATTGATTTGACATAGCCTGAAGGGGACATACAAATAACGTTTGTAAGCAGTCCTTCTTAAAGACTTACCAGACAACATACGTGGAAATGTCTTGAGTAGGTGAACATTTTAGAGGAATCTATACTAAATGTTTCCCCTATAGCTATATCTCAAAAAATGTTTTCAGAAGAAATATATGTATGAAAAGACTTTTCATTTTCACAGTAGTATTTTCTGAACATACACATTGCATAAAATAGTATCATTTTATATATTCACCACCACTGCATGAGCGTTGAAGTATAGACAATGAACATGTGCAAATTATGTGCTCTTTTGTTGTTCTTCACGTTCACTGACTGTAAACTCAGGCGGAAAGTTCTGGTTGTTCCTCCACTTCTGGAATTTAGTATATTTCCAGAACGTTAATGTTGTGTAAACATCAGTTTTACAGATCTGACTCATTTGTATACAGACTGTTGGTTCCTTGCCTCTCTAGCAGATGCACTCTGAATTCCAAGGAAGCCTCTAATTAGACCACTCTTACGACTTGCTCACTGGGGAGGCAGTGGGTCTATTCTTGTTTTCCCCACAAGAAGGCCGTAACACACTGGGAAAGTCCGGGGACTGTGTGGTCTCAAGACATGGTGTCCGCCTTGAGTGCTAGAGGTCCTGAACTCAATCCTCAGTAAGGGCTGAGATCTTTTCACGTAGACTTTGACTTCTAGTAATTTCCCACGATCTCTGGGTAGTGAGATCGGACGCCCATGTGCATTGTTGTGCACATAAAAAGATCCTTTTGGCAGTTGAAAATCGAAAAGAGTAGCCTAACGGCACTGCCCGGGAAATATTGGAGTTAAAAATCTACCCAAAGTATTTCAGTGTCCTCGCTGGTGCTACAGAGCCTGGGTGACTACCCGTGTGCCATGATGTTGATCTGTTGTTCAAACCTCAAACACTGGGAAAATCGTGTACTAAAATACATACTCTGGTATTGTAGATTTCAAGGTAAAGATCATAGTATGAGATGCTGTATATTAACAATCCCACCCCACATTGCACTGCAGGTTACATCATAATGGTAGGAGTGTAATACTTGACACAACATGACAGTTTTATTATGTATGTGTTTAGAGTCGACGTCTGTGGCTTTGACTTTGCGAACACGCTTTGTAATGCCGGGGTGCTGGGTTCAATCCCAGCTGCAGGCATTGCGCCTTGCATTGGTTTCAACAGTGGTATCGAGAAGCCGACCGCTCAGAAAGCAATGGTAAACTACTGGACATAAATTTGCCTTAATAAAACTACAACAGTCAAAACATGTTGAGGTTGGTTCTGCAACATCCTGTAAAAGATAAATAACTAATTTTTAAAATATGTTTAAATTGTAAACACAAAATAAACCATTTTATTTATCACTATATTTAAATATTTGACACACACCAACAAAACTATTCATTGTGTGTGCTCACTTAATCAACAATAAACATCAGTTGTATTCTTTGGTTACATTCAGATATCCAACACATACTGGCAATTCCTTCCATGTTTATACTGACATTGTCATCACTTATACAGAACCTCCTGAAGCTCCAACAAATGTCCAGCTGGAAGTGACTAGCAGTTCTTCCTTACGTGTCAGTTTTGCTGAACCACAAAGTCATAATGGGGCAGTTGTCACAAAATACAAAGGTGGGTAAGGTAGCAAACTGTCAATGTTAGCATAAAAGTATGTACAGTAAGAGAATGGGTCTGAACATAGTGATTAACATGCGACAATGGGTGGCCACTTAGCTCTTTGAGTCCCAAGGAACGCATCAAACGTTCATAAGTTGCCGCATAGAGGCCCAATGAATGCAAAATGCGCCAATCTTACATCTCTTTTGACTACCCCTTGGGCCTCTGATGCTAAACCCCATGGGACTCAAAGAGTTAGAAGGCTATCGTAAGTTTTTTTATAATAAGTAAATGCAGTTTCTGTCTTATGTGGAGAAATGTGCAATTGATAGTTTAAAAAATTAGTTTCTATTTTTAGTAATTACAGAAGAGAGGTTTTGGCTGATTTAGAATCGTTTAAAACAGAATAATAGTGACATAATTGTTTCTGATCAACAGTGCAGTGGAGCACTAGTGACAGTTTTGTGCCTCTGTCTGGAGAGGCTATTGTAGAAGATCTGACCCATCTGGAGTATGAATTATCAGATTTAGCCAAGGGAAGCCCATACTATGTCAGAGTATGTGCCTGGAATGTCAAAGGTTATGGCTCATATTCCTGTAGCAATCCACCATCAGCTACAGCGTCTAGTAAGTATTGCTAACTTTACTTGTGAGGCTGATCTCAGTGTGTTGATTCCATGTAATGTAACAATCTGCTACATTTATTTGTATCAATGAGTTGATGGTCTTTGAAAAAAGAAATGAGTTTGCCAGAATTAAACTCACAAAGATAGATAAATGGTTACTTGCATCAGAAGCTGGCCATCCCTCTCAGGAAACACCATGAAAAGGGGAAGCTAGAGTAATAGGGAAGTTGGTGTGTAAAGGGGTGGGGGAACAAAGAGACAGGATATTTCTGTTTTCAACGCCACGCAGTGATGCCAGACTGTCCAACATTTTCTTATGGATCTCCATTTTTACCACCAGCTAGCTCATTTGGTTTGAGCGTCATGCTAATAACATGAATATAGTGGCTTCGACTCCCATAGTGGCAAGGATCAAATTTGTGGAACTCCAGTAGCAATGCTGGTTTGTGCACCACACTTATAGACTGTACCTATGCTGAGCATGTGAATTTGACACTCACCTGAAGCATCTCTGTTTTGAAGATCGACTGGCTAAGTGGTTAAAAAATACAGGTCTCTCATTTAAGTGACCCACGTTTGAATCTTTGGTAAGATGATAGGCATTTTTATGTCAGAGGCAAAACTCAACACCACTCTAAAAAGTTATAACTACTAACAGTAAAGACAGATCGCCATCTGCCAATATTCACTTCTAACTTTCTCCTTCTTTAGGTTTGTTGCCGCTAATATTGGTTGTACAAATCTGTTCATTTACTTCTTAAGTTCTAGACATAGCTAAAACCCTTTATGTTAATTTACTTCCCAAATTCCGGACACTATTTATATAGCTGAAACACTGTTTTTAACGCTTCAGCCACAGCCAGTAAGTTTTAACATACTGCTAAAACACAGCTCTTAATTTATTGTTCCAGTGCCAGACAATCCTATTAGCTCTTTCTTATTTAAAGTGAAATGGTTTTGGCAATTACAGGTTCACAGTTTGCCAAGTCTCTTCAGCCACATTAGCACTAGATTCAGCTTCTGACCACTCCTGGTTTCTGAGATACTTTGACTTTAAAACCTATAATAGAATGATCTGCTTAACTGTGACTACAAATCCCCAATGTCTAGACCAGAAGTTGGCAAGTTAAAATAACCCACAACTTGGAGGTTTTTAGTGGGCGCTTGGAAACCTGGAGACTGAAGCACCTTGGGTTGCTCATCAACATATTGAGAGGAGCGGGGCTGATAAGGAGGACTTCACAGCCCATTCAACCTCCACACTTTTTAGAGACATTCTCTTTCAAGTTGTTGTTTATAATTTCATTTTATTTCAGATATACTATTATATTAATCTGCAATACAGCACATATTAATAACAGTTTTTATAATAATATGCACTTAAACAAAGTTAAAGCCCTTGACGCCCTTAGAATATGTATAAGGTAAGGAGCTATAGTCCCCTTCTTACCCCCCCCCCCCCCCACACTTCTTCCCCCCCCCCACCCACCCCCACCCCATGATTCTGTTGGCATCCCTGGTTCGCCATAAGGGCTCTCTCCTTAGCCAGCATTATTTAGTGAAAGCAAGAGCTGACAGTTGCCTTGGTGAGCTACCTGCACTGAGTAATGCTTATTTTCCAGGGGAAGAATTTCAGCCAGGACTAAGTCTGGACAACATTTACCTCACAGTGCAAAAGACTTATAATCAGGTCGCCTCTGGCCCCATCAGCACTAAAACTAGTAGTAGACTGCTAAAGAAGGGAGCCAACATGCTTGAGAATGCCCAAGAGCAGTGATGTCAGTACTTCATTCATTCATTCATTTATTTGTTCATTTATTCATTTATTTGTCCAAGCAATATTCCTATGGTCGATTTTACAAATGATGCCTAGCTGTGTTGGCTGGTGGTTGACAATCTTTGGAAAGTTGAGCTTCAACAGTCAGTCTGAGGTGTTAATATGCAGGTCGTCTAAGTCTTTGAAAAACAAATGTGATTCTATTGGTGCGAAGGTTTCTATAGAGACCTTTGTCCTAACCCGGTACCACAGTCCCATCTTTACACAGATTGTAGTTCAGACTTTATTACCTTGTCCAAGCTAAGAAACTAGTCTGGCATTGGTTGATGATTTGGACTGAGACTTGGGACGCTGGCACGAAGAAAACATTTAGTGACAATCAAAAAAACATGGGGGGTTGGTGGGGGGGGGGGGGGCTTAGCCCCCTTATAAGTTTTTTAAAGGGGTCCTAAGTCTTGTATAAGTGTGTAATGATTAGAGTACAGACATAATTCACACTCATACAACAGGCTGGCAGGAAGTAAATGATGTTCCATCCAGACTGGAAGGCAAAGTTGCATCTCTCTACACATTATATTGTCAGGTGAAGAAGTCGCGACCACCAGACTCTACAGAAATGAAAGGTGATTGTATGCCCATGTTTAATCTGAACTTGTTTAGACATAGATAAATGAAAGACCCTTGTGTGGTTTTTGCGTTTATTTTAAACTTGTTTAGACACTATAGAAATGAAAAGGGACTTATTTTGAATTGTATTGACTTAAAGATGGCTTTTGTTGGTTTATATAGAATAAATGGAGAATTGGGGAATGTTTTGGTATACTGCTGAAAATAATATATATTATTAAAGCAATGTCCGTGGCTTAGGCATTTCGAGTCTGACTTGAAATTCCAATGTACCGCGATCGAAAGCCCTGCTTGCTGCATGGATCTTTATCATGGTATGAGGCGTCGCAGGTTGACCCAGCCTAAAATGGATGCCAGTATGGCTGTCCCGGGGAAGTAAAGATGGCCGGCGTATGCTGACCACATTACCCACCTAGTGCCGATAGTCAGTAAAAATATGGGCACTCTTCCCATGTACCTGATACACCTAAAGGCGTGAAAAGGGATCTTCAGACAATGGTTTTAGTGACTGGTCTGGAGTTGATACTGGAGTGAAACAGGGATTCATGTGATCTCCTCTGTTACTTGGCATAACCATTGACTGGGTGATGAAAAAACTTTGTGGTGGAAACACCAGCATTGCCTGCATGTAGAACCCACCGTTGGAAACACCAGCATTGCCTGCATGTAGAACCCACCGTTGGAAACACCAGCATTGCCTGCATGTAGAACCCACCGTTGGAAACACCAGCATTGCCTGCATGTAGAACCCACCGTTGGAAACACCAGCATTGCCTGCATGTAGAACCCACCGTTGGAAACACCAGCATTGCCTGCATGTAGAACCCACCGTTGGAAACACCAGCATTGCCTGCATGTAGAACCCACCGTTGGAAACACCAGCATTGCCTGCATGTAGAACCCACCGTTGGAAACACCAGCATTGCCTGCATGTAGAACCCACCGTTGGAAACACCAGCATTGCCTGCATGTAGAACCCACCGTTGGAAACACCAGCATTGCCTGCATGTAGAACCCACCGTTGGAAACACCAGCATTGCCTGCATGTAGAACCCACCCTTGGAAGATTTGCATTTTTCTGAGGATATTGTTATGTTAGGTAAAAACTTGTGCTAAGTCGGTGTCTGTGGCTCAGGTGTTGTGGACGCGCTTCCTTAATGCCGGGGTGTCGGGTTTGATCCCAGCTGCAGACAATTTTTCTTGCATTGGTTTCGACAGCGGTACTGAGAGCTGACCTTTCAATAAACAAACTACTGAACGTAAAATTTGCCTAGAAAAACCACAACAGCCAAAAAATGCTGGGTTTGCTTCTGCAACATTCTGTAAAGGATACACAGCTAACTATATGTGTGTGTGTACGTGTGTAATACAAGTAAAAACAGCAATGACATGCAATGGAAAAGAGATGATTTTAGTAAATATTGCATCAAGGGTTGGACTGCACATAAGTTAAAGACAAATATACTGAAGACATCAAAAATAGATCAACCAGATGTAACACTAGAGACGAAAGTAATTTAAGTAACAGATCAATGTATTTATTTAGACAGTAATTTTAATAGTAAAGGAAATACAGAGAAAGAAATGATGACATGCATTGGCAAGACATCAGCAGTTTTTAACAGCTTGAACAAAATATGGAACTCTAAATTCCATAGTTATAAAACAAAGTTAGGTATTTAAAAATTTCTGATGTTATTTCACTTTTAACATATGCTAGTGAAAGTTGGAAAACCACTAAACCACATGAAATGATAGTTAAATGTATTCAAAAATAAATTTATGAGGAAAATGATGAAAATAAAATGTGAGGAATTCAAAATGAGTAAAGAATGAATTATAAGACAGAGAAGATGGCGCTATATTGGACACATCATGAGAAGAAACCAGCAGAGAATCACTTAACTGAGAAGTAAAAGGATTAGGGAGAATAGGACACCTACAAGAAACTGTAAGATGAACGTTGATGAGAGTGACTGCTGGATTAGATCCCATCCATTTCAAACTGATTGCACAGGATAGAGATTGTCAGCTCTATGTGACATATAATGGCTCAACAGGCTAACGAATGAAAAGTCTGAAGATATTTAGTGTTATCTTCAAGTAAGCTGGTATGTTACACAGCCGTTTTTGGTGTCCTCAGTGCTCTGGTTCTCACTTAAATCTGTGTGCTTCTTATAAATCTTTTGGCTGTAACAGATGTTTATCATACCTATGCATTCAGCTGTTTTTTACATTACACTTAATTGTGATGCATTCCTAGAATATAGAAAAGATCTCAGTAAAAGTAATTGATGTAGATCTCCAGAGACCATAAAGTTTAACTAAGTAATAACTAATAACAGCAATAATGACAGTTAATTTAAATAATTTTATAATATTTAATACATGGGGAATCTCAACTTAAATCTTTAGTAAATGTATTTTCATTGTTTCTTTTGTACCGATGTATGTTATTCTCTATTTTTATAAGCAGATGTCTTGAACAAAGAGTCAGACTCCCCAATGCAGAAAAAAAGAATCAGCATCAAAAGCTTTTTCAATTCTACGCCAAAGTTCCAGAAGTGTGTTAAAAGGTATAGTTTCACCATTACTGATTTATCTTCTCAGTTCAGTTCATTCCTAAATATTCATACAATCATTACCACAACAAAAACAGCCAAACTGAAATTCAGTGTTAGAAGCAACTATTGAGACTTGAGTTGGCAACTTCAATTTCAGAGTCAATGGTATGTTATTGTGACTGTTTTTACACCAATTTCTATGCTTTATATGTATAATATATGTGTGTATACATGCTTGCGTGCGTGCATGTGATAATGCCTGTATGTGTAAGTGTATGTGTGTGTAGTGTGCATGTCTACAGGGCTTTTTCCTACCCAAAAAAAGGTGCCAGTACTCACTACAATGTGTCGATTACAAAAGCATTAAAAACAATGCCTAAAAAGGGTATCGACACTGCGTGCCACTAGAAACTAAGCCCTTTATATGTATGTTCGAATATATATGTATATATATATATATATATATATATATATATATATATATATATATATATATATATGAATATATATATATACACACACACACATATGTGCATGTATGTGTGTATCCTAGAGGTAACATGTAAGGACTTTGTTCGAGCTGTTAAATTATTGAGCTATTGTGTTATTTCTCCTTTGTTCCATTTTTAGCAAGTCTGTAGGCTAACCCATTTCCTAGTATGCTGCAGTAGGGGGATCCACTGGAGAATTATCTGATTGTTTTCTGCAAGTCTATTTAGCTGGCGGGTCAGTTCTCTTTCCATGTTGTCTCGTGGATCCCTCTGAGTCGCCTGGAGGACTGACATGCTGTCTCTAAGGGAAACAATTTTGCTGTGTTTAATTTTTCTTTCCTCAAGCACTTTGGGTTAATCTTGTTTTAGTTGTTCCTATATGTTCAGCTTGGATCCATATGGCCAGGTCAACTTCATGTGCGGCCTTGTGAATGTGAGTCATGAACTGTTTTAGGAGGTCATTGATGAAAATTATAAACATGGAAGAAGATATGACACCTCCCTGGAGGACACCTTCTAGTAACCTGACAAGCTTACTCTTGTGCTCTGAATAAATAAGTGGTTTGTGCTTTGTTGCAATATCTCATGGCGTTAATATTGGCACAAGGAAATGTTCCAAAAAGTACACCACCATGTGCCCGATTTGTCCCATAGAATGAAAATTGGATCTTTGCAATAAGTTAGTTGTTTTAAAAAATACAAATAATAACCTAGTTTGACTAAAAATCTTAGAGTAACAAATGAAATATTTAGGATTAATTTTACAAGGGGAATGCATTTTTATGGACCATCTAATGGGCAGGAGAGACATCACCAGTGCCATAAGGGAGAGTAAACACGGTGAGGATTTTTAATGTCATAGAAAATTATTCTTCACTGAATAGACTGCATACCCTGTGTGTATCAACCAGAACAGCGAGACATCAGCCAGAACAGAATGGGAGTTTTTAGCCTAGAAACACTTAGAAACATACTCAGTAAGGGATTGGAGCACTAATAGTCATGAACAATGTGCGATGAAGATTATTTTTAAAGGAACAGTGCACATGTATCTAGTTAATATGAGTGAAACATGTCATTAGCTGCTTTATTTGTTTGGGTATATACGGTCATAATATGATCATAGAATACCCACACCAGCTGTAGTCTTCTGTCTAATGAAAGTATGTTATGTTATACACAGAGGTGTGTACATGGCCTGTTTGCTGTATTGTAAAGACAAAATTCTGGTTACATCGGACGAACTATTGCCAATTATTGAAGTGGATGAAATGTTCTCGGGACCTACAGTACATACTGATCTCTTCTGGCTTCTGAGGGTGAGGCACCATTATGTGGTGTTACATTATGTTATTTGTCTTCTTTTCTGCCTTTCATCTCCCTATGAAGCCTAGACAGTCAACTAACTGATGAAAAATCCTTTCTGTTATGTATATTAAACAAATAGACATGTACTGATCTGCAATAAAAATTGTTTGAGCTCTTTCAGTCACAGATAATTGAAAAGCAACAATCCCATCTGGCACAATAACCACAGCATCACTGTATCAGTGTGTAACTCTCAAAGACACAAGATATGTTGTGCTGCACAGTAAAATATCTGGCCTTATTTCTTTAGCATAAACACAGACCTAAGAAGAAAAATATAATCATTACTGTGTTGCGGTAATACAAAGGGGTGATAGCTAATTACACACTGTGCATCGGTTCAGGCTGAAAGAGTTCATGTATAAATAATGTTTCAGTGGCCTCAGGGGTTCCCAATATGTGTATTTTTGTGTATTACAAAATCCATTCTAACCTGTTCGTAAGTGGTTCTGTTGGCAACTATTGTTTTCTATGTAATAAAGTAGCCAGTCCCATGCCAAACCTTTTAAAGCTTTCTTGTACAACATGTATGGTAGATGCAATAAATCAAATACTTTTACACAATGAAGGTCAGCCATACTGGATTTCCAGCTCTGTCTCTCAGCCTTGATTGTGTGTTTTTTGAAGACTGGTGTAAGTCTTTCACTGGACCACTTGTACCAATGACTACCTCTTTTGTTACCTGACTTCAGCATTTCTCCCCAGTATCATTTTTAAGAGTGTTATATTTTTGTGTGTGCCTGAAGCTCACACTTTTCTCTTTTCATATCTTTCAACATTTCTTTATAATTTTTTACGTTTAGTCTTTATGTGAATTGTTTATTTGGCTGTTTTTGCTTCGACGAAATACATTTGATTTTTCCATACGTATGTTTCTCATGTCAGCATATCTCCCCCCCCCCCCCCCCCTTCCGCCACCACCACATTTCTCTGCAAAAACAGTAGTGAAATCTAAATTCTAAGCCAATAATCTTTGTTAGGATAATTTACTGTGATTTGTATTTACTGGAAATAAATACATTTTCTTAAATTTAATCAGTTGGAAGTATACATGTAGTCATAAATGATAGCCTTGTAAAAAACAACAAAAAGTACAAGAAGTAGTGGATATATGAGTGTATATTTTTACAATCTTTGGCGTTCACCAGATCTTTTTGTAAATCTTAGGCTAGGTTTACTTGGTAATTCTAATCAATTTAAAAAAGAAAAGTACCCTTGCCTCAGACATGGATTCAGACACTTGGTGAAAACAAAACCACCAGCTTAACCACCAAGTAAATTATCTGTAACATTATTTAACTCAACAATTATCAAATCTGTGGGATTCATTGTCATGTGATCTGCTGGTAAATGTAAGGCACACGATAACAAGAATTACGGATCAGGTCAGTTTGATTGTCCTGAAGAAGCCATGTGATCAAGCCATTCAAATATTTATCTTTTTGATTTTGTTGCATATCTTTTTTATTTGGTCAAAAATTGTAACACAGTTATCAACATTTATCTCTCTATTTGCTTACTCTTTTACATATGCCCTTACTTTTTTTAGATATTCTTACTTTTTTTACAGACATACTTGTGGTTGTACAAATATATATGGTATTTTACAGATATCATGCATGTGGGAGGAGGTGAAAATCCTGAAACAGGACATGGAAAAAACTAGCAGTGCAAGATCAACCTTCAGGTGTAAATTGTTGCAGGCTATTGTTTCTTTGCAGGTAGTTATCTTATTTCTCTGGCTGCTAATTTTTGTCTGGAGACAAATTAAGAGTGATGGGTATTGGGACTGCCAATTAATTATATTAAATAACATTTAATGGCATTCAGATACAGTTTTGGCAAAATGTTTTCAAAGAAATATGAACGTTAGTTATGACTGGGAAACTTGACAAAAGAAGTTAGAAAATAAGTGTTTGTGCTATAGGAACAATAAAACTTCCTACACAAGGTAGGATCTAGACTACACAAAAATATCTGTCTTCAGTACTATGTGACGTATCTTGTAGACATTGACAAATTACTCGCTGAAAAAAAATTTTTTATTAAAGGTTTCATTTGTTATATTGGGTTTTTTGTATATAAATCATGTAAAGGGTATATTTTCAATCCAGTCATTGTACAGTGTAAATAAGATGCCAGAGAGCTAGTGCACTTATATACCAATTGACACCATTATTAAGACATCCAAACACGAGTACTAGTGCCAAGAAACAGATAATAAACAGCATATTCATACCAACACTGTGCTGTCAGTGCCAAACTTGGATATTGTCAAAGGCTAACCAATGTCTGTGGCTTAGGCACTGCAAACATGCTTCGTAATACCGGGGTGTCGGGTTCGATCCCAGCTGTGGACGGTTTGTGTTGATTTTAACAGTGGTACCGAAAGCTGACCTTTCAGAAATCAATGGTAAACTACTGAGCGTAAAATTGCCTAGTAAAACCACAATAGCCACACAAAAACACTGGGGTTGGTTCTACAACAGCCTGTAAAGGAAAGGCAACTAACCAAACAACGCAAAAATTAACATCTGTGAAAAGAAATGCCTGAGAAAAGCTGCAACCTTAATCATCCAAGACAAAGTTAGAAATATTATCAGACAGACTGTAGGAACAATACCATGCAGCAAATTCATTGAGAAACAGATGATCATATGTTTTGGTCATCTAGTAAGAATTCAGCCAGAACAACTACCAATGCAGACACTACTCATGAAAAGATCTGAAGTAAAAGCAGTAGGCTGCCCTATGAGAAGATGGACTGATGAACAATTTTGCGGTTGTTGTTATCATCCAGTGGTGCATGAGCTTTCACTCCTTGGCCCAATATCATGTAGTGGAATGTACATGTTTTCACAAGCTGTTCTTTTCCTCCATACAAGGTGTTCTACTTTTCTAGTCTTGGAGGGGAGCATTCTTTTAGTCTTGCTGTGTTTTGGGCACTCAAAGAGATGATGGTCAACAGTTTCATAGGGGTAGTTACATAGCTGGCACTCTGGGGAGTGTTGTGGCTGTATTCTCTTGACATGCCCATTGAGTGGAATATGTTGTGTTCTGAGTCTGAAGATGGTGGCCTGGTCCCTGCTTGTTAGATGGTTGATGCTATCGTTAGGATCAGGGCCAGGCATTTGTCTGTAAACCTTGACTGATGACATTAAAGAGCATCTACATCCTCACGGAATGACTATAGCCATTTCTGCCAATCAAGCAATGGATCGTAAACTGTTCCTGCCCATGATGCTTTATGGCACAAGTGGAAATTGATGATGAATTGTATAGGGTATAAGATGCCAGCCAAATAACAGTATTTAAATCAGCTGGCAATCAATGGGTCATGTGTTCACCGTCATGTCAGCCACGTTTACTTCCCGTGTAATGTCCTGGTGCCCATCTGATAAACAAAATCCCAAACGAAAAATTATAAAGAAATTAACAGGTGCTTGCGGTTTAATCCCATCATTTACAGTATATTACAGAACTTCTTCTTATAGTCTATACCATGTGATGGTAGTAGTCATGTCTATACACAACATTCTGTTTCATGTAGTTTCAATCATTTCTAACACAGATGATTTGCTATGCCATGGTGTCAAACTCTCCAACATCTTCCTTCGCAGACTTCTTCTGCCCCTTTTCCCCTCCACCTTTGTGATGTCCTTCTCATGACATGGCCAAAGAATGTAGACTGTCTCCTTCCAATGTGGGCAATTAGTTCTCTTCATGAGACACTTTCTTTCAAGACATCTCAGTACTCTTTTTTTTTTTAATCTGATCAGCGTATTCTTATCATTTGTCTATAACACTACATCTCTTCAGCTTCCCAATAATTTTTCCTTAATCATTCAACTGTCCATAACTCACTTCCATATATCAGAATATTTATCTAGTTCTTTCTAATTTTCTTTCTCATCTCAATTGATAAAGAAGGATTGCATCGAATATTCTTCATTTTCTTTATTACAGAACATTTTAATTGATTTGTTTCATTAAATAAAAGAGCGTCTTGGTACCAGCTATGAGAGAAAGCCAGACTCAATGAACATAGTGAACATAGGGATACCACATAACAGATGAAGCAACAACACCAAGAAGAATTTTAGAGAATTGAAGACCACACTGGACAGGCCCATCGGAAATTCTTACACATCCCCTTCCACAATATTTTCCTGAGGTCAGTGAAGGATTGAGGGGGAGTGGGGGGGGGGGGTGAGGTTAAGATAAAGAAGAGGGAGGAGGAGAAGAGGAAACCAGAAAGAGAAGCAGGAGCAAGAGGACCCCGGCCGCAGCAGGGACAATAGTCAGCAGGCAGATGTGTTGGTCACCGTAAAACTGTGTATCCTCATTATTTATATAGCTTGTATGTTTTCTTGTTTTTAAAAGCTGAATGTATGTCAGAGTGATGGTGGTCATTGTTTCTCTCTAAGATTGCTATTCCATTTGATTAACACCTCAAAGAAGAGAATCAAACAGGAGCAAATGACAGAAACCCTATTAAAGGTATATTAGGACAACCTTACGGTTATCGAGTAATCTGCTTTCCAATGTCTGGATGGGATTTGTGCAATGTTGAAATACTGATTTATTTACAGACTGGCCTCGGAATCCAGGATCTTGGACAATTCTTCCATCAGCCAATCAGAGACACAAACAGCAGCATTATTTTAACAGTTGTCAACCACATCCGTGACCCTAGGCTTGTGACCCTGGGCTCCAGCAAGTGGGTCACTTTAGGCAAACTTGCTCGAAGACAAAGTTTGCTGACCCATGACCTCACTGATGCCAACAGCCTGCTTGTCAACGCTGTACCTGTAAGTATGTATTCATAGTCGACACACTGCCCTCATTGCACATCAAACCATTCAGTCCATAAGAGCTCCTTAGTAAATCCCGCAGCCTGTTGCAGCTTACGACATCAGTTCTGTGTTAGTCTCTTATTCTTCTTTGGCTTCCTGCATAGTGATATTGGCCAAACCCCTTTTAGCATGTTGTTCTTGCATGTCCCATGGTTTTTCTCCTCTCTGCAGTAGCTTTACCTGCAAGTGGTTCAGCTTGCTCATTTCATTGGATTCTGGCATGCTCTGGCAGAAATATGAAACTGATGTGTCCTTTACATGATGTTGCAGAGCCAACCCCAGCATTATATGATGTTGCAGAGCCAACCCCAGCATTATATGATGTTGCAGAGCCAACCCCAGCATTACATGATGTTGCAGAGCCAACCCCAGCATTACATGATGTTGCAGAGCCAACCCCAGCATTACATGATGTTGCAGAGCCAACCCCAGCATTACATGATGTTGCAGAGCCAACCCCAGCATTACATAATGTTGCAGAGCCAACCCCAGCATTACATGATGTTGCAGAGCCAACCCCAGCATTACATAATGTTGCAGAGCCAACCTCAGCATCTTTCGGCTGTTGCAGTTCTTTTAGGCAAATTTACATACAGTATTTTGCATTGTTTCCGAATGGTTGCTCTTGATACCACTGTCAAAATCAATGCAAGGCAGTCTGCTGCCATATATATTTATGGCAGATCAGTAAAAAAAAATGTGTGGGTTTAAACATAACAAATAGATGGAAGAAAACCATGAGGGAGACATCTTGAAATAAAAATTAACTCCAGGAGAGAACAAATTGCCTGCATCAGATGAAAGCATCTACAGTTTTTTAGCACGACTGAGACGGGAGAAAACTGAAATGTGTCCAGACAATAAAAAAGCTGACAGGTAAAGAAACAAAATGGAGGCCAAGGGAGGAGGTGGACAATGTGGCATCATAGCCTGGAAAAACAGAAATGAGTACCAGTACTTCACATCATGAAGTATAAGAAAGAAGAAATTACTGTTATGATTACAGTTTGATTGAGACACTAGCTGTTTTATGGCAAAGAGTTATATTGGAATGCCAGTTAACATGCTTGCTTGCCAGGACAGTAATCCATGTTTATCACCAGCTCAGGCAGCATTCATTTCTCCGACAAGTACAACTCAACCTCATAAAATGGGTACCACACATATTTGTTTTGTCTGGAGAGTGGTGAGGAAATAAACTGGCCACATCACCTTGTAGATCATTATCTGGGACTTGTGAAGACCCAATACTTGATAATTCTAGCAATCCTGGTGCTTCTTAAGAGTTGTTTTGTTTAATTTGCTTCCTTTGCAATGATACCTTTAACTCTTTCAGTCTCAAGCATGATTTAATTAACTTTTTTTTTCCTAAGGAGATGAGCTTAATGGCAATAATTATTTGGGTATGAAGAAGTTCAACAGACTTCTACAGAATAGAAGTAGCTGAACAAATAATTCAGGTACAAAGGGTTAAAATAACATCTGTCTGTGACAGAAGTTAGCAAAAAGCAGTATATTATCTGTGGAATGACCAGGAAACATTTACTGCATTGTTTGGAACTAACGGAGTTAATAAATGTGTTGGCCCATGTTTTATTTGATCATGTCTCATGTATTGCACACAGGAATGGATCATGTCTCATGTATTGCACACAGGAATGGATCATGTCTCATGTGTTGCACACAGGAATGGATCATGTCTCATGTATTGCACACAGGAATGGATCATGTCTCATGTATTGCACACAGGAATGGAAAGGCTAGAATTATAATCAAACAAATAATCATCCCCATGTGGGTTCTGGAGCCCTACTGTGGGGAAAACAAGAGTAGACCTACAACTTCCCCAGCAAGCATGTCATAGGAGATGACTAATTGGGTACTTCCTTCGGAGTCAGAGTGCATTTACCTGACCAGTAAGGAACAACCAACTGCACACTAATAAGCCAGTGAAATGGATGTACACACAAAAATCTGGCTCTAGTGCAAGGTCAAAGTTCAAATGGATAAACAACTGGAACTTTCTGCTGGATCTTACAACTGGAACAAAGAAGAAGAAACATATGATGAGAACAAAATTTAGAGAAAGAGAATATTAAACAGCTAAGCAGTTAGAGAAGAATGACAAAAAAAGAGCAAATGCTCTAATGCCCAAAAAGCAAAAGAGGATAATGATGAACTTCTTTTTCTTCTTCTTCTTCTTCTTCTTCTTCTTCTTCTTCTTCTTCTTCTTCTTCTTCTTCTTCTTCTGCTTCTGCACTTATAAGGATGGTAGGCATGTTGTGTTGTAGTTTACAGCTAGGCTGTGATCTATTTGCTTTTTGACATCGCACATCTGATTTCAATTAAATCCTGAATAAGACGTCATTTATGACATGCTTATAAAGGGCAGACCCCCATAACTGGGTCCTGAAACCCACACAGGAGAATTATGAACTTTTTTATGAGTTCTTTTTGAAGGGATGTTGTCTTCTGTCATATGTTAGCCACACTATGTTTATAAGTGTTAAATTATGTGTTTTTTCACCTACTGTTTCTTTTTTCAACATTATAATAATTCATTTTGCAATTTAATGTTTAAAAATAAATTTACCAAGCTTTCACGACAGGTTTATCATTTTCATTTCATTGCCAGGACATGGTTTTATACCATCAAGTCAGTAGAATTTGTTTACCTCGTGGACTTTACCTTGGGTATGTCAAACTCCAGGCTTCTATTGAAGTGCTGAAAGTATTGGTGATGAACAAGGCACCAAACTGTGTCCCACATGTAAAGATTAGGGATTGTCCTAATGTTACCAGGTATTGTTTGTTTCTCAACATTTTCATTTTACAAGTTAAAAACAGACACTTCATTAGAGTATGGCCAAAACATGTAATAGAGCTGAATGTTAATGTCGAATTAAAAATCAACATCATAGCACTTGGGATGCTTCAATAAGGGCTCCATCCCCATCTTCAGCAGAAAGAGAAGAGTTCCAATTCCAATGGTATCAGTAACTCTCTAATCGTATATCCGTCTCACCTTTGCCTTGAATGTTGGCCTTGTTAACTCAAGCAGTGTCACTCTCCTAAAACTGTAATGATCTGTGCCTCCTCACTATTCATATGCTCCCCAAGAGCCCTCACAAGATCTAGCTTATCATACATCAATTTATTACCAAGTGGTACAGAATCGGACAGAACCGGTATAATTGAAAATAAGTGGATAACTTTTGCCAGTATTTAATTTTTTTTTTTTTAAACCGTAGCTCTTTACTTTGATTTTTAAAGTTTTTAAACAGTTAACTGCTTATCCTTTACATGACATCTCACAAAACTTTTATGTTCAGTAGTTTGCTTTTGAATAGTCAGCGATCATGTCATTTCTAAAATCAATGCAAAGTAGTCTTCTGCCAGGTCACATGCAAATAAATTGAACCTAGTGTGTAAGCAATTATGAAACTGAATTTGTAACCTCTAAGCCACATGCCTTGACACCCACTATAAGAAGTAAGCTATACAATTGTAATGTTAAGCTGCTGATGGAATTCAACTTGTTAGATCTCCCATGTGGAATCTGCAGCACCATTGTGGGGGGTGCAGGGTGGGGAAGACTAATTAACTGTATGTATAACTCACTACATCTTCATTGGTTGGTCCAAAGATTGTACTTTTCTAACTCATCTATTGCAAATAGCACATTAAATCTTTCTATTCAAATTGTTAGTAAAGCTTCTTCTGCCTCAAAGTGTTGATATTTCAGTTTCTTTGGATTCAAACACCAACCATTTTAGACTAGAACGTCTCCAGATAAAAAAGAGTTAAATTAATTACTGGCTCTCGCTGTGTATGTTCTAAGGCCCCATTTGGGGTAAAAATAATAGACGCTCTGTCCCCAAAAAACAAGCTTGTTGTAAAACGTGAATAACTAGGGATTTTTGCTTTGAAGTCTGAGTACATCTGCCTGAGGTGCTAGGAACCAGCAGTCTGCACACAAGTGAGCCAGATATATGCATGCAAAATTCAAACTTTCCATCAGAATTTACAGCCGGGGAATGCTAAGAAGATGAATAGTTACTGGTACTGAAAAGATCAAGTGTCTGCTAACATTTGATGTGTTAGGATGAAAGGCATGAATGTCACAGCTGATCTATCAACTTCCCTTTTAAAGGCGAATGAAGAAGAAAAAAGAAGTTTTCAGATTCTCAGATACTACATGGGGGGGGGGGGGGGTAAATAATGGTACTGACACCTTTTTCTTTTATTTTTTGGAACATCATTTTCATAGCTCTATGGTAATAGACACTTTGTGATGAGTTCTGGTATGTTTTTTAGAAACCGTGGAGAGAGCCACTGCCTTTTTTTTATTTGCTGACAAAGAAAAAGCTGAGAAACATTTATATTTTCATTTATTATCACAGAACAAGAACACTTGAACGATGTACACTTGTATTTATTGAGATATTACCCATAATCATCAGTGCTACCCATTTTTTAAAACAGGATGTATTGTTTTTTTTTTCCTTTTTAGCTAAATAAAACTATCAGCTGACATTTGACATTGATGAAAGTAACTTTTGAAGTGTTTATTTCCACCAGTTGTTTTACAAGACAGATAATGAATCTGAGCAATGCTAGCATATTTCATAACCTGAAATAAGTTGACAGCTCTTGCACTTATTATAATTAAAATGTATGAGTTGAAAAATTTGTTTTTTTTACACTGGCTCTTCATTTTAATTATAAGAAGTTAAAACAAAGTTGGTAGTGGATCCTAATATTTCGTATATCGTAATACATATATTATGATATTTTACTGGCATGAAATATATTTTAACAGGGATGAGTGGGAATGGCTGTTAAAGTCAGACCGATTTGTTGAGAATATGAACTATGCACAAGCAAGTTTCCAACAACTTTTGACAGATGCAATCAAAAAACTGTTTGCACAGCTTGGTAGGTGAAGTGTCAGTGGCATATAATTATTATCATTCAGTTCAGAATATTTGTTCATAAAAAATGCTGTTTGTGAATGAATGATGTGTCATTTTGTTCATCAACTGATCCACTGAATGATTCATTGACCAATCGATTGACTAGAATCAATATCATTGAACTTGGGACACACCTATGTGTGCTCTATCTCTAATAACAAATGTTGGGGTTTAACAGTGATACTCATGATACTTTAGTACTATAGTTTCCATTTCCTACTTTATAAAAAATTACAAACGGTATAGTGATTGTTAACATACAGATTTGAAATACATACAATTCTGGTGCTGTGAGGCGTTCCAGGATCAGAGAAAAGAAGAAAAAATTATGTGTTTCGTTTTTCCACTGGGATTACAATCTAAAAGTTTGACACTTAAAACCAAAAGATTGACATAAAAGACTGACTGACACTATTCAGATGTAAATCCAAGAGGAACAAATCCCAGAAATGCCATTCATCCATATAAAACATTTATATTGGGGTACACAGTGATTGTTAAATATGTAGGCTGAGGATAATATGTTTTGTGTGTGTCACATTTGATACTCAAAACTACCAAGTCATGACAAAATTCATAGAGAAAAATATTTACACGTATATGAATCCATTCCAGCTGACGAAAAGGTAGTCTTGTATGAGTTACTGCTGTTGAAACATGGAGTGCAAGTTTTTACACTCTAGACTAAAACAAATGTATTGATCATATTTTTTCATGTCTTCTTTTCTTCCATGAAATTTCTGGAAATTTTCTGGTATCCATATTAATGAATTTGGGTCGAGCCACAGACCCATGGTCGGGGAAAATCGTGCAACTTCTGTGGGTTCGACCCAGACCACTGCCTCTACAGATAAGTGAACTAACAAAGTCACCATGGCCTTGTTTTTATTTTACAGATCTTCCAGAAGACACTATAACGAAGCATCGAATCTATGACCTGGAGGTATTAGAGTTGTCTCCCTCAGTGGCAATGATTCTGGTGTTGCCATCAATCGAAGATGTCTGCATTGTGCCAGGATACCCTGACAGCCTGGCCAAGAAAGCTGACTGCAGTTTTTTACCTGTGCAGATTTTTGAGTCAAGTAAGTCTTACTTATTATAGTACAAACTTTTTAATGTGATGTAGGGAAAGGAGGGGAAAGGGGGGGGGGGTCATCCTTGAACCTGAAGATTTATGGACACATGGCTAGTACAGTTACCATATACGGTGCAGGGTGGAATGTTAACACTGACAGAAGAAAACCCTCCATCCCCTTACTGTGGATTTAGAGCCCAGCATTTGGCCAGCCACTCGTTTTAAATATTTAATAAAACTGCAGCTAAAAAAATATATTTATTCATGACACTACATCAAGTAAAACAAGCTGACACATAACCACCCATCACTGTATGAACACTTGATGAATTTGACACTGACATCTAACAAAAGAGTAAATTACATAGCACTGTTCTCAAGTTTTTGTTGGAATCTGTATGTAATAATGACAATACTGCATTCCCTATTACTTTATTATTACAATTATATAATTCTACCTAATGTGTAAACAGTAATAGACAGCTGAAAATATCTCTCCAAAATTTTTGCATTTTCAGTCCACATGCAGGCCTACAAGCCAGAGTTCTTCTCTATGTATGCCCGACTGTCAACTGTGGTAGAGATGGATGGAATCCTTGCACATCAAGGTCACAGAGAGGTAAAACAATTTAGTTATTAGTCACAGTATTTTCTAGACGTTGCCTACCAGCCTGAATGTCTTTAGACTTCAAATGTAATCTGTGTAGTTTTTTTTTAATGATCTGGGATCCCAAGTGCAATTTATTAGTGTCATCAAAATATAGTAAGTAAAAGTAAGTAACAAAACCTGTTCATGCCACTGTCATATCATGCTAGACCCATTTTGTTACAGATTAAACAGCTGTGGTAAACATCATGCTAGTTGCTTTTACTTTCCATGATTTTTCCTTGTACCATTGTAGGCTGGGTGGACCTGAGTATCAAAATATAGATGTGTAGAAAAATATTACTATTTGAAAATAGACCTGCCAAAGTGCAGTAGTAAAGTTAATGGGACAATCCTCTAACAAGTTGTTATGTTGAAGTTCTTGACTATCCTGATAGCAGATGAAAGACATTCTATGCAATCTTCTTTGCCAATTGAAATGAGAAAGAAAATCCTCATAAATCAAATCCTGATATACAGAAGTGGATCATGGACAGTTGGACAGTTAGTGAAAAATTATGTGAAAGTTGCAGAAATGTGGTTTTATAGACAAATTATGAGAAAACACTGGACAGATAGAAGAGTAATGAAGATGTTTTGAAAGAAACTGACTCACAAAGAGAATTTATTGCCCATATCAGAAGGAGACAATCTACATTCTTAGGTTGTGTCGGGAGGAGAAGACTAGAGTACATCATGACGGTGGGAAAGGTAGAGAGTGAGATCAAGAGAGAAGCTGCTGGATAGTCTGACATCACAGCATGGATGATCATCTGGGTCAGAACTGACTAAAAGTACATGAGACAGAGGGTTGTGGATTGACATAACTACCAATGCCACATGATATGAACTATAAGTAGAACGAAAATATTTTGACAAAAAACCAGGTGACAAATAATAAATAATTTACTGATGAATAATAATTAATGATTTATCGAATGAAACCGAACATTTTTTTTTCTAAAAAGAAACTTTGAGATTTAGCAAGTTTAAAAAATTCAGCAAGCCTGTATGTGATGAACGCTAGTTATAAAAATCTATAGTCTAGTAAATAATACTGAAAACATGGGAATAGGACAGACTGTCACATCTTTGACTGTATTCTTGTAGTTCACAGTCATTATAAGGGATATAGGAAAAAATACAGATAATAAGTCCATCTTATTCTTATTTGTATTTGTAATCTGGTTGCAAAATTAATCACATTTGAAACATTCTTTTGCAAACAGTTCTAAAGAACCACATCTACTTTGATTTGCTCATCTGTTTTAAAGAAATAATCTATGCATACGCCCAAAAAATGGGAAAAGTATTTGTTTTAGTTTTAAAGAATTAAGAATATTTCATTTTTATCAGATACTACATTATCATTGATTTTCTCATAAGCTTAACACTAATAAATGTTTTCATGGTCTATTCTGCTAGGCATTTTCAACAGAAGAACTCAGTAAAACTAAAGAACAAGTGGAAGTTACAAAACAGTTGCAGCAAAACCTGGACAAAATTTGGAAATGTGCTAGGTGGATACGGGACATTACATCTTATGCAAGAAACAGAGAAAAGAAAGCAGGCATTGGTTTATCCTATGTCTTTCTGAGTAATACAGTCAGCAGTAATAAGTGTATATCTGTAAGTGATACTATGCAGAAACCATTGAGGTTAAACATTGGACAGAACAGCTATTTATCAACATCTACCACAGACTTCTTACAGAGTGGCAGGCTGAGTGATTCTAGTGACCAAAGATGCATTGCCAAGTTTTATGATCCAAACGAAGAAACCCCTCATAGCTCTGACATTATCAGTATAGGCAGAGCTTCTATCAGACATCAGGACAAAGATGCAACTTTTTATTTATCTTCTTCTGAGTCAACTCCATCACACTGCTCCACTCCACAGAATCGTTTTTCAACCTCATCCCTATCATCAATGTCTTCATCATCGTCCACTACAGCAATGGAATATGCACAGTCACAAAATTCATCGTTCGCCATCATCAAAGTGCATGCCATGTACGACACAGGACTGAACAAGAATGTCAACATGAAGCTACACATCACAGAACAAACAACATCTCGAGATATCATCAACCTCATTGTCAGACATCTCAACACAATTGTTAAAAAGAAAGGCAAGGGTAACTATGCATACTCAGAGGAATCCCTGAACAATTTTTGCTTGGTTATAAAATTGCCAGATCATGAGCAAGTGCTAACAGATGACTGCAGATTGCTTTGTTTAGGAGAGCTTTTACAGACAGCTAAAATTTGTGTGACAATTCTGGGTACGGTATTTTCAACACAAGATATGGGACAAGCTACTGTCGTGTAGTTCTGTTTTTATGGATAACCAAGACCTAGGAATATTGATTAATATTGTTACATTCACAGTTAAATAGTAAAGATAAAAGTGAAAAAGTGAAAGACTCTGTCCCTGCTAGTGCCATGTTGGGCATATGATCCCACACTCATATGTTTATAGACCAGTCAGCACTCAATATGATCAGCATCGTGCTAAATACCTTTACTTTCCAGGAAATTTTTTGGCATCAGTTTTAGGCTAGACCTACCTAGAAACACAGGTAATTTATAACAAATAATTTGGCTTTGAACACAAGATCTTCCGACTAGAAGGCAAGAATCTAGTCACTACATTATGACAGCTCTCTAAGTAAAATATGCATTGTGATTCCAAATTCCTTTCATGAGAAGTCTAGAGCAGTTTAGGGTTTTTCTTTGATTGCAGCAACTGGAAATAGCACAATCTTTTAGTTGTGATTTCACATGTGCAGCAAAGTTTTATTCATGAAACTGTGACAAGTATCCTTTTTTTTATTGTCTGTCTCTGAATTTTATTTTTTTTTAAAGTTGGCAGGTTACTAGGAAAAAAAAATCACTTGCCTGCTTGAATTTTCTGATAAGAATTCCTGCAGAATTATCTTTACCCAGGAACCACTAATTAACACAAAGAGGTTTTCAAATACTGAAATGAAATTATGATATCACATTTTATTTTAAACAGAACATACTAATTTTCGTACTGCATGGTTTCAACAATATCAATAATTTATAGCCAACAACTCACTGTGAAATCACATTCCTCTTTAACCTTCAACTTCTAAAATATCTAGCTTTTTCCTATACCTTCCGTGTGACATCTTTTGTATATTTTTCCCAAATACAGCAAATCCTCATTAACACAAATGATTAAGATTTGAAAATAGTTGGTTTTAAAAACAATCTATATTAACTGGGGACTATTCATCATGTAGCAGGTTTTTTGCAAAACGTCATTCTCATCACGGTCTGCCTGAAAAAAACTAGGTCTCTTGCTAGCTCTACCACCTCATATACTTTCATACTCAATGAGGAATTTATATCCTGTGCCCATCTTCATGTTGGTCGCCCCTGCCCCGCCTTCTGCTATTATCATTTTCTAGTCCATCGTGGCACTTGATATGAACAAAATATTTCAGCTTCTGAAACAGGATGCTGTTTTTTAGCCAATCTTCCTTAATGTTCAGATCTTTCAAGATGACAGTATTTCTCCTCTTCTTTGTCCAAGATATTCTGAGAATCTTTCTATAGCATTTCAGCTCAAAAGCCCCTATTCTCTTTCTTGAGGACTGGGAGATAGTCCACGACTCAAATCCCTATGTGGCTACAAGTAAAATGTATGCTCTCAAAATTCTAATTTTGATCTCCTTGCTGGTGCTTAACCATAGACTTTTAATGCTGTTAATGTTTAATCTTTGCATTGCTATGGCCATTCTCCTTTTAATTTCTGTCAGTCTCCATTGCTATTCATTATAGAGACTAGATATTCAAAGTTTGTGACATTTTCAATTTCTTCACCATTTATTGTTATTTTTGGGTGACAGTCAGTTTTATCTGTGGACATTATTTTCATTTTCTTTAAATTCAAGAACAGATTTTGATCTTCACTGTGCTTTTGGACAGACAATATTAAATTTTCTATTCCCTATACTCTGTTCGTAAGGAGGACTATGTCATTTGCGTAGCGAAGTTCCGGAATAGGGTTGCCACCAATTTTGAGCGGATCATAACTGTCACAAGTCTGGTCATTTTTGACATTTCTCATTATATTTTCTGTGTATATATTGAAAAGGTATGGTGAAAGAATGCTTCACTGCCTCACTCCATTTTTGCACCTCGAACCAATCTGATGTTTCACTAGCTGCTCTGATAGCTGCATGTTGTTCATGATAACGATTTTCAATTAAATGCACCAAATGCGCTGGAAACCCCTTAGTTCTCATAATAGTCCACAGTTTCTGATGTTGGACACAATCAAATGCCTTGCTATAATCAATTAAACAAGCATGGCCATGCATTTTCTACATTTTTCATAAATTATTTTCACATTAAAAATGTGATCTCTAATCCTCTACCCTGTCTGAAACTCGCTTGTGCTTCATATAGCTCATATTGTAATTTACTTTTAATCCTCTTCATGATAATTCGTATGAAGAGTTTGCTAGCATGACTTATTAATTTGATGGTAATTTAGGAGTAATAACATTAATATATCCATGCTGGGACCAACGTTTTGTTTGTGTTAACTGAATGTTCTTAATTAAGTGAGTTTGTGTTAACTACAAATGTTGAAACAAAAGTTCTCTTCTTGTGCAGTTAGTATGTGTTTTCTATCATCATTCCATTTACACATTTAAATTTTCTAACGAATCTGCTTTTCATCAGGTTAATTTATTAAAATCAGTATTTTCTCCCTGCAACCATGTTTCTAATATTTTTGATGAATTAACTCCCTGTGCCTCTGTGCCTACTATGGTCAATCCTCCCAGTTGTTACAATGTTTTCCAAACCCACTCCTTTAATAAAATGACAAAATCATAAATAAATACATGTTATTGTCGTCTCCACAATAGAGGTTGACTCTAGTAGTTATATACTTCAGCTGTCATCTTTAGAACCTTTTATTTCTTTCTAATATTGAGTTGCAGTGTTCATGATTTACAATAGTACAGGCATCATATAGTATGCCAAAACTTGCTATTTATTTAACAGGAACTGGTACATGTTTTTCTGCATCCACTGGAATGCTGCTTTTAGTTCAGTTAACCTGCATGATTTTGCTGTGTAAAATTTCCCACTTTTAATCAGTGACCATTAGATAAATTAATTATTCTACTTTTTTAAACAATTTATATGATTTTGAGCTTTCCCATCTTTTGCTTGTTATAATATTTGTCACTTCTTGCAGTTTTTCTTTTTAATGACAAACCACTGAAGAGATGATTGTGGTATTTTAGTATGACTACAGTAGCATCGAGGTTAGTGAGCTTGCCTGCAAAGACAGTGGATTGAGTTTACAGAGGTATGGCTGCCAATTTCCTACCAACATGGCTCTTAGTTTTATATATGCATTTGTCTCTTTTATATTTCTTTCATCATCTTTCTTTGCATTCCATCTCTTCAGAATGTCTGTATTGGATTGTCGTTCCCCATTCCCTCGCCACCCTGTCTTCCATAAAATTCAACATATTCTTCTGTAAAACCACATCGGTAGAGCCTCATTTCAACTTTTTAAAGGTGTGGGTTTGCAAAAACAGCCAGAATCGTGGGTAGCCTATTGGGAATCTATTAATTTCACATGAGATCTTTAAATCTCTGTTTGTCTCATCATAAATATGTATATGTCCACTCTAACACTAAAGACAAAAGGAATTAACCTTTCAGATCAATTTACTTATTTAGTTAGTAATTTTGATAGTAAGGGAAATAAATCAATCAATCCTCATCACTTCCAGATACATAGGCAGAGACAAAGTGTTGCTACTCAATTCAATCCTGAGTCATCTTATATATCTCCAGTGTTGTCCTTCATCTAGCCTAGTTCAGCCCCAAAGGTTTCCTTCCAAGTGCCTCTGGGCTTGCCTCTTCCTCGCTGTCCTTGTGGTATCCGTTACTGGGCACCAAGAGGGAGGTCGTCGGAGCTGGTTTTCCCTGCGCCCCCCCCCCCCTCTCCCAGCCCTTTATCATTGACAGTTATTCTGTCGCCTACAACTGTGATACCCGGATCTCCAAGAGTATTAATCATTTTTTATGTTTGTCTCTGTTTCTGTAGCGGTTATCTTTTTTTTTTTACAGTGTGGGACTGCTGGCCCCATGTCCAACCCCTCTTAGTCGCCTCTTACGACCTGCTTAGAAGATATAGAGGTCCTATTCTTTATGACACCGGGCACCACATGGTGAAAGGAAAATACAAAGAATGAAATTTAGACACTAAATATTCACACTGAAATTTTCTAATAAATCTGCTTTGTCATTAAGTTATTTTATTAAATCCAGTCTTTTCTGTCTGCAACCATATTTCTTATCTTTTAAACAAAATAATCTGCTGATCACATAAAGGAATTGAGGAAGCAAAGATGTCCAAAATGAACCATAAAATGAACCGTGATGAGAGAAGACAACGGTGTTGACTGGATTCCATCCATGATACTTAAATGATTGCACAGGATAGAATGGAACAGAGCAGAGAAAAAGACTGTGAACCCTAAGTGACATATAATATTAAACCGGACAATGTTCACCCCGAGAACAATATTGGCTTAAACATGTTTTGAACAACTGCATTCTTGTTAGCGAGGATACGCAAGGCTATTTTATTGGAAATTTCATGTGTAACACTTCATTTGTTGATTTCTAAGCATTGAGAATGTTTAGTTTAGATCTACTTAGTGTCCCTAGATTTTGATGTGCACATGTTGCATCGCTGTTTGCAAAAACAGTTTAATTAGTGAAGCTATTTCTGTTGCTTTGCACATAATGACAAATGTATTTTTCAATATGTCTGTCTGTCTTAATATACCATCATCTGTTAAAAGTAGCTTTTAATTTTTTAATTTTTTTTTTTTCAAGAAATAGCAACAGCCACTTATGATGACTCTTACATAGATGTCAGTTGTTTAAACTTTAGTGAATATATAACAGGGTTGTTTCCAATAATGCTCAATACGCCTGAGTGCATGGAAAAGGGTCCTTTGCGTCACTTAACTTACTATTTCCAATTCATGTTTTTGGCGGTTTTTGTCGCATATTTCATCAGATGAATGCCTCCAGTAAAAAAAAAAGGCCAAAGTCCTTTTTTTTCCACATCTTAAGATGCACTTGACATGTGATTCCAGATTTTTAATTTTTAATGTGCAAGTGACATTTGATGAATGGTGTGATCCATGCTCCGACCAACATTGTTTCTGGATCATTTCCTGGTACCGATTTTAGCTGAGTACACTTCGGTCAAGGATTCAAATACTCAAACACAGGGCTGGCAGCCAAGCAACTAGC